TTATATATTGTGACAAATATTTATTTTGCTACTAAAAGTTAGCCACAAAATATCATATTTCTTGTAGTGTGCTTATCTGCATTGCTTCTTTGAATCCACGTGACTCGTTCAGTGATTTTGACAAATCTAAATTATTGAGGATGGCTGAAATGTATCCCAATGATTTTAGTAATGGTGACAAGATGAGTATTGAGAATGAGCTTGACCTTTATATTCACAATGTGCAAAAAGATGAAAGATTTGCTAACTTGAGTGGTTTAGTTGAGCTTGCTAATGTGATGGTAAGTACAAGGAAAAATTTTACATTTCCTTTGGTCTATCGCTTATTGAAGCTCGCCTTGGTTTTACCTGTCGCTACGGCAAGCGTTGAAAGATGTTCTTCAGCAATGAAACATGTGAAGTCGGATTTGCGGAATCGAATGGGGGACGAGTTTCTGAATGCTTGTGTAATTTGTGCTGTGGAAAAGGAAGCGTTTTTAAATGTTACAAATGAAGATATAATTGGTCGCTTTCAAAAGATGAAAACTCGAAGAGAACAATTGTAAGAGGTATGTTTTGTCTATTTAATTGTACCTTGTTTTTTAATTTAATTTTAATGGTAAGAAGTATGTTCTATCTATTTAATTGTCTTTTGTTTTTAAATTTTATTTTTTTTCACTTTAATTTACTTAATGCCCCCATCGAAAAAATTTCCTGGATCCGCCACTAGTCGCATGCATCTTAAAAAATGTGCGTGTGGGAGCATTTTTTTGTTTTATTCATTATGTTTTACTCTTATTTAGAGGAGTTTAAGTTTGAACTCCTATTTTGAGGATATAACATATGTTTGACTCCTAATTTGTTTCTTCTCCATATTGTTTAATCACCTTGGTTCTCATGACATTGAGAACCAATGTCATTAGATGACCCGGAGATGCTCCGGTGCCTTGTTCGTAAAATTGACATTTCCTACCCTTAATCCCCTCGGTAAACGCCCCCACCCTGCCCTGGCCCGAACACGCCCCCCCATCCCCTTCAATTGCACCTCCAAGTTGATTTTGGCTTTGGAGTCAAATTTTACGAACGGGGCACCGGAGCACCCCGGGTCATCTCACGGGAGGTAGGAACCGTCGATTTTATGAACGGAGCACCATAGCACCTCCGGGTCATCCCATGACATTAGTTTCCAATGTCATGGAAACCAGCCTCTTGTTTAATTACTAAACTTAGATTTACCAAACTGGTTATTGACTTACTTTTCAGTTCAAATTAATTTTTCATATTTTCTCCTTCCTCTTTAAAAAACATAAAATGATAGTAAAAATTAGAAGTACAAGATGTGACAAAAATATTTTATTTTAACAAATGATTAACAAAAGAATATAAACCAATAAAATTATTGAGAAATCTTAATAGTAGTAGTAACAAATATTGTTGGTCAATGGGTGTATATAAATGAAAAATGCTAATCTTAAAAAAATGAAATTGAAAAGCCAAAAAATAAAAAAAAAATTAAAATTAAAAGAAGGTGTAAATAGGAAAAACTTATCAAATTCAAAAAAAAAAAAATAAGATTATTTATTTTAAATTTAAAAAGATAAAGTTTAGATTAATTATAAATATATAAAAATTAAATAAAAATAATAATTGTGTAATCATTACGACCTCTTTGTCTAAGCTTTCCTCCTCAGCGTGGCAGCTGTTCCCCTTGCTAGTACATGCGTGCAATTAAACACTACACGCTCAGCATAAGCTGAGTGGCAAATAACTAGTAGACATGTAAACACGTGTAAATATATTTAGAGCATTTTATGTTAGCCAGTTTCAAATTCTTTTAGCATAATTTACTTCCTTAAAAAAACAAAAAAAAACACTCTAATGGATACTTGGGAACATTTAGAAAACTTTTGATCTTCCTAGCTTAACACCTGATTAGAGACTAAGTCGTGACTAGGCTGGAACTCCGCACTAGTCGATATGTACTTTTACTTCGGACACCTCCATGTGACCTTGGTTCCAGTCATCAAAAGTTAACCCTAGACCCACGGGGTCATCGCTGGGTTCTCGTGCGCACGTTGTGGTATGATTATTTAGAGCATTGGCAACGGCGTGCCATTTTAGCCGCCACGCTGCGAGATCAGATCTGCCTTGCACCAACTCAGCAATTGCCTCGCGTTCCTTGTGCATTCTCCCACGGTAAGTGAGGCAGCCTCAAGACTGCCATGCTCTATTTTTTATTTTCTAAATTATGTTAAAAATTTAAAAAATGACTGTATAGTTTTTAATTGGTTAAATTATGCCACATCAGCGTGTGGCATTCTATTTCTTTACTTGCCATTGTGAATGCTCTTATAGGTTCACCCACATGGACACGGTCCGACCTTTAAAAGTGGTTTGACCCACTTGATAAAAACGTGACAATACTTGGTTAAAGTACGTCGATAAATAAATCTTGAACTTTTAATTCGTCTACTAAATGTTTGGTTAATCCCAGTACAGTCATTTAAATAAAATACATTGATTCTTCCGATCATAAACATTTTCACACAAAATCATTTCAAACGATTTTTTATTATGTCCCCTATATTTTTCAAAACTTCCATTTGTTGCAAGAAACCACAAAACATTACTCGAATATCAAAGGTGTTTAAATTCATGCATTTTAGATTAATAGCTATGGGACCCATGTGCAGTTAATATCAAAGGTCTTTTCATGCACTTGCATTTTTATGTCCCTCATTTATCAGAAAATTACTCGCGGGTGACGTGAGTTTTGTCGAAATAACTTTCAGGTCCCTCTACTTTCAAAAAGACAACTGAGGTCCTTATATTTTGTTGTAATGACTGGGAGGGGACATTTCATCCAATACATCATCCGTAAGTGTTGTTAAATGTATTTTTTCCTATTTTTCCAATGCTGTTTTTTCCTATTTTGCCATTACCTTATTTTTTCTTTTTTTAAAATTTTTTTATTTAATTTTTTTTAATATAATACAAATAATTTTGAATTTTTATACGATTTTATAGAAGAGATTCTAAAATAACACTTTAAAAAATAGTAACAAAATGAAAGAAAAACAAAGGAATAAAAAAAGGAGCGACGTAAGATTTATTACCTTAAAACATTTAGAAAAGAATATGAAAAAATACATTTATTAACGTTTATAGATGAAATATTGGATGAAATGTCCCCTTCCAGTCATTACAACAAAATGTAAGGACTTCTGCTGTCTTCTTGAAAATAAAGGGATCTGAGAGTTATTTCAACAAAACTCGCGTCACCCATGAATAATTTTTTGCTCATTTATTTATTTGTTTACATCTTCGGTGTTGATATTTAGATTAATAGCTATGGTTACCATTCTTTTATGTGAAATTTGCACTAAATAGAACTAAAACATAATGACTTTCCTAATTTAGGACTTAACATTTTTTATTTTCTAAATAGGACTTAATGATGACTTAGTGAGAAAAATAATGTCCAGTAATGATAGACATTTACTTGAATAATGACTACTTGATAATGACCAATTCAAAGATCTTACATTGAGAAATAAAAACATGTGGTCCTATATTAAGAAAGTCATTATGTTTTAGTTCTATTTAGGTAAATTTCGTTCTTTTATTTGCCAAGTTCTCCGTACGTATACTTTAGAGGCTAGCTTAACTTACATTCAGACATTTACATATTTTTATTACTACTATTCGTATTATTATTTATTACAATTTATAAAGTTATAGGGTCCTAATTCAGTCCATGCTATTATTTAAATTTACTCCGTATAATGGTTTCGTAAATATATGTATTTATAAAAACAAAAAAAAGGTTTAATCCGGATTTTATTTATATTTATATTTTTTTCCTTCGGCCTCCATTCTTATAAAAAAACTATTATTGTTTTTACTTATTGTTATACGGAGTATGAGTATATCTTTTTTTCAAAAAGTACTGTATCTTTGCTTGATTACACTGCAGTACTGCACCAACCATATACGAAGTCTTTTTTAATGAGCAATACTAAGGGTACACCAAATATGTATCTCATTTGTCCCCCACCTCTTTCTCCACCACTCAATTTTATTTTATTTTTATTTATTTAATTTTTTTAGTCTCTTGCTTTTTTGTGTGGTTAGGGAGGGGGTGAGGGACAAATGAGATACACCTTTGATGTACCCCTAATATTTTTCTTTTTTAATACATATTTCATGCAATTTGTGTGCGACATATATTTGTTTGTTTTTTCTCTTGTCACAACATTCCAAATAGATTAAGATTAATAAAAAAATAAATTAAAATGCACAAAATATATAAAAAATTATATATATGGCTAAAGGTTAGAGTCAATGGCACACTTTCGATGTTGTTAACAAAACAAAGCCTGACAGATCAAACTTCGACAGCACCGCCCCGCTACCCCTTCAAGCTAACCTCTCCACCACTCTCACCAAATAAGTACCCTAAGCTACCCACCTTAGGCCCTTATTTATAGGTAGTGGGAAGGGGTAATGGATGATCACAATAAAATTAAAAAAATTATATTTTATATATTTATTTATATTTTCACCCCATTAAATGTGATAGTTGAATGGAGGAGTTACAAAACCCGGCCCATTTTGTTCCTTTGGCTTGGCGGGAGTAACAAGGGGAAGACTAATAATCTTCCTTTGTTTGTTGTTTAGCATTACTAGCTAGACACAAATTCTACCCTTAGACTAACTGACTAAGATTATAGCTTAATTTACCTCCTTTCAATTAACAGTGTGTTGAGGGGTCCTCGGGATGAGGTGTCATCCTTTTGGTAAGAGGGAGCTGAGAGACCATAGGTCTAATGGAGTTTTGCTTCACAATGCAACATAGAGTGTGGGTACCAGGCTACGAGCGAGGTATGGGCAGCAGCCATTAAACCATGCATGTGACTATTACCACGTACAGACATGGAGTGGTAAGGTAGCTTACATAAAGCTGCTTTTTAACCATCCATGCATCTATATATGTCTACATCATTATAATCCAATTCAAAAGTGGAGAAGAAATCTCAGAGCAAACTCTCATCACTCATCACTACCTTCTCATACATATATCTATCTGTCCACCTATCCCTCGCTACAAAGCTCAATCAGATATGGCTTAATTATTCCCAGAGCATGATCAGTTTGTTGTATGCCCTTGTCTTCTCCCTCGTTTTCTCCCTTCAACAAATCACTGTCACCCCCAAGCTCCACATTCTTGAGAGTGCCAAAGCAGAAGGTGCAGTTTGCCTCGATGGCTCTGCACCCGCCTATGACTGGGAGGTTGCCCAAGGAGAAGATAACAAAAGGAACTGGCTCGTCTACCTCCAGGGAGGAGGCTGGTGCTTGAACACCACCATTTATCAAACGCCTGACAAATCTATTCAGAACTGTAGCAGTCGGGCTACCGGCGACCTTGGTTCTTCCAAGAACATGAACGCCTCTGTTTTCGGGCGTTTTTTCAGCGCTCACTCAAACGAAACTTATTTTTATAAGTGGAATCGGGTGATCGTTAGGTACTGTGACGGGGGATCGTTTGCCGGCGACGCCGACAAACCCGACCCCGTCACAAATCTATACTACAGAGGGGCTAGGATCTTTCGGGCTGTCATCAAAGACCTGATGACAAAAGGATTGAAAGATTCTAGCAATGTTCTCCTGGCCGGGGGGTCGTCGGGCGGGTTAGGCGTGATGATTCACTGCGACCAGTTCCGGCGCATGTTCTCCGCAAATGTAAGAGTGAAGTGTCATGCTGACAGTTCGCTCTTTCTTCACGTGAAAGATCCCGTCCGGGCAAGATTCTTCGACACTGTTTTTGGCACCGTGGTGGGGATGCAGCGTCCCGAGGCTGCATTACCCTCCCGGTGCACCTCCAAAAAGAGTGCGAAAACGTGTTTCTTCCCACAGAATCTGCTGCGCTACGTCGAGTCGCCGCTTTTCATTGTGAATCCGGCGTTCGATTCATTTCAGGTGGCAAACACGTTCTCGAAGGATTTGCACGACCGGATCTTGTACCATAAGGGCGTGAGTCGAAGAGAAATGGCGCTGCTCCAAGATTTCAGGCGGCAAATAATAGGAGCATTGCCCCGGGCAAGCGCCACGAATAACGGATATATAATCACATCCATCTTCGGGCATAGCTTGGCTTCGGGCATCGGGTACAAAGGACCCATGTTTGCTGACCCGAAATCCAAATCTTTCGAGAGTGCCTTTCTGGATTGGTACTTCGACAGGGAGCGCGTACATCTCATTGACCCTGCCGAGAAGCCCTTTGCTAGGAAGAACCCATTAGTGTAAATCTACCTTAATGAGTACTTAATTAATGTTATTCCGTATGTATTAAGGGTACTGCATGCGTATTTACGTACTCCGTAATGTGTAGTATTGCACTCGTAGTTAATTAATTAATTAGATATGGACTTTCGATCATTAACTTCTTCATTATTCCCTATGTATTATTTATTGTGTGTTACGTTCATCGTTTTAAATATGGAGTAAATGCTATGGATGGGAGTAGTTGTAAGAATTCACATGCATGTATTAGCATGAATTTTCTTAGATATATTTTGTAAATATTTGACATTTGAAAACTAAGTTACAATATGAATATATTGATAATAAAGTAATACTTCCTCCGTCCCAAAAAGATTTACACCTTTCAAAAAAATTGTGTCCCACAATCTCTTACCCATTTCTATTAAAAAACCACTTTTATCCCTTACTTTTTCAAATCCTACCTATCACATCATACCTTTTCCCAAATAATCTACACATCACATCCTACTTTTACCCATCACATCAAGGGTATTTTTGGAAAGTCAACACAAAATTATCCCTCCCTTAATTTCAACTTTAGTCAAAATGGGTAACACTTTATGGGACGGAGGGAGTATCATACTTCCTCCGTTTCTCAAAACGCTCTTTTGACTTTGGGAAAAAATAAGGAAGTGTTAAATTGTAGTTGACTTTCCAATTTTGCCCTTAATGTGATGGGTAAAAGTAAGATGTGATAGTTTAGTTGTTAGTGAAAAATTATGATGTGATAGGTAGTGTATGAAAAAGTAAGGGTAAAATTGGTTTTTTAATAGAAAAGGGAAGTGTTTTAAGAAAAATAAAAAAAATGAAAGATGAAGGGTTTTAAGAAACGGATGGAGTAATAAAATGTATTTTTTCCACATATCATAACCAAAATTTATATACTTTGATCAAAAAAGTCAAATGAGAAATATTTTGGGATGGTGGAAGTATTAACTGCACTAAGGAAAATCACTCTCTGGGTTTGGAAAAATAAAGTTCTCCGATTGATCGATATTTCTTCTTTGAGTGAAAATTTAATAAAGTTAGCCTAATTATGAATGGTAGGTGTGCATTTATCATAGTGCATGTACTGCACAAATAAACTCCAAACAGTGCTTCTGTACGATTGTTAGAAAATGTGTTTAAAAGGAAAAACAATTATTCCTATGTTGATAAGTATTTTGTTTTTCTGATATTATGAGCTGGCTAGGACCACAATCTGCAATACTGAAGCATAGAGAGTTTGAGGCTACACTATATATGGAAATTGTGTAAGTTAATACGGAGTAATTCCTAATAGGAGTAAATTAAAGAAATATGGTGAGGTAAAAGTAATTGCTTTTAATCGAGAGTGAAAATATTTTTTAAGACGAGTGAAAAATGGAGGGGATTTCTTTCCTATTTTTTCTTTTATCTAGACCAACCAACATATGAATATTAAAAAATCTCTTCCATTTTCTTTCTTTTTCTTTCTTACTCCGTACCTCTCTATTTCATCCCAATTATTTTCCTTCCTTAATTACCAAAGAGGAGATTAATCATTGGTTACATACCGAGTATATATGAATATATATATATAGAATAATTGAACAATTATATTATCTAAGAAATAATAAAATACATTACAGAATATTTTTAGAAAGGAGTACAAACCCAATTAAGATTAAGAATCAATAATGGAATTGAAGCTAACTAAAATAAAGAGACTATCTATCATAAAAGCAATATTTATTTTTATTGTCTGACAAAATATAGTAGTAGAGTGTTTCTTTACATTGAGCGAATTAAACAAATTTACATTTTTTTTTGCTTAAAAAAGTTCATCTCAAGTAAAGAGAGAAGAAAAAAAGTCAAAAAGGAAATGTGACACATGCTTTGATTAATTGTACTACTTGAAGAAGTACTAATTACCTGTAAATGCAAATTCAAAATTTCATTGTGTCTCACTTATTTCATTTAACAATACAATAAATTTCAATTGTGAACACGATAAAACATCAAGTACTCACTATATAGCCTCATCCAAAAAACATCAAGTATTCATTGTAAGTTTGTAACTCTATTTTGTGGGCACAAGGTCTTGCTACCTAAACATGGGCACTCAAGTCCAGTATGACTACAATGAGTCTTCATAATGTCATCACAAAATGAAAAACAGACTCCCTCTAATTCAAAAGGATCATCTAGATTACCAAATCGTGTAGCATTGATGGCATAACACAAACTATAACACTTGCAAAAGTTTGGATCGCATTCACTTGATACTCCACGCAAGAATATCACTTTGAAAATAAACACTTTCACCAATACCATCATTATGGTGTTGCTATGAAAATCCATTTTCCTATTGCCATTAAAAAAACTCCGTAATAAAAAGAAATGATATAAAACAAATTAAAATACTACTACAATGTCACATTATACACTTATACAAGATATAATACTCCCTCCGTCCCACAAAAAAGTTCCCATTTTGAATAGTACTTAATCAAATATTTACTCGCTTTGACTACAAATTGTGAGAAAAGTATATTGAATTATAAAATAAATTTAATATAATTGGATTCATCTTAGGATCTAGTTTTGATATCTCAAATTTTTTTAGCATTTCTTTATTTAGATTATATTTAATTTATGGTCAAAGCGTGTAACTGTTTGACCAATTTATGGTCAAAATGAAAACTTTTTTGTGGGACGGAGAGAGTAACAAAAAAATAAATAATACAGAGTAATGATTTTATTAGTATTCCGTAATATTATTATTATGTCGGTTGAATCCGCGTACGTACGGACTTGCCTATAAGTCGTGACTTATAGGCAAGTCCGTAACACCAAATTAAACATAAACCTAACTCATATAATTATAGGCAACCTTAATTTATAATCGTCCACGGTTGAAAAAAATTAGCTTGTTGTTTTCTGAAAGTATCGTGACCTTCGAATTAATAATATTCTTCCCAGCGAAATTCTATTACTCCGTATTATATATAGACACAAGCATTTATTAATAGGTGGGATTTGGTATAACGTTTGATATAATTTTGCATGCTCATGTAAGTAACGGAAATATGGAGTATAACTTATGGATTGAGTTTAATATTAAAGAAAAATTTGCATTAAATAAGACTAAAAATTAGTCATTTTTCAATGTAAAATTTAATCTTTTTTATTCCCTAAATAGTACTCCCTCCGCTCCATTAAACCATTCCACTTTAGACTTTTGGCAAAAATAAGGAAAGTGTAATTTTGGTTGACTTTCCAATTTTGCCCCTGATATGATGGGTAAAAGTAAGATGTGATAGTTTAGTTATTAGAGAAAAAATATGATGTGATAGGTAGGGTATGAAAAAGTAAGGGTAAAAGTGGTTTTTTAATAGAAAGGAGAAGTATTTTAGGGAATCCAAAAAAAACGAAAGGGGAAAAGTTTTGTGAAACGGGTACTTAATAATAATGTCTAATGGGAATGTCCATTGATGGTGGACCTTTACTTCAATAATGATTGATGGATAATGATCAATGGTCCTACATTGGGAAATAAAAACATACGGTCCTATATTGAGAAAGTCATTATGTTTTAGTCGTATTTAGGTAAATTCATAAATATTAAATGCGTTAAATGCTCCATACTCTAGCAGCGGCAAGGGGGTGGCGGGGGCGGGGGGAGATGATGGAGTGTGGGGGGGATGAACGCGATCGAGAAATCAGAGTATTTGAGGATTGAGTAAAACATAAACTTTGGTTCAAAATAAATGAGAGTGATTTACTACCATTTATGTAACCTAACCTTGGAAAGTAGACTTACAATTTTCTAGAAAAGTTTTTTTCTATCAACCAAATTGACCCTAAGAATTACAGAGTAGAGTCCAAAAGAACATAATCTTAAAAAATTGAAAAAATCTTTTAGAATGGACAATAATTTCATTCCGCCTTGTGCGTGGAACATGTTAAAAAAGCTAGTGATTATATATGAGGGCTAATAGCATGAGTGCCCTCCGTGCTTTACAAAAAAGACATCAAAACCCCTTTTGTTTTCAAAAATTATTTGTAAAGTCACCATTGTTTCTAAATAGATCACACATGCCCCCCTTACCTATTTTTAAAATAAAAATGACATTTATGCCATTTCTTTTCCCCGATCTTAAATTTTCATAATTTTATTTTCCTTTATTATACAAATATACACAATAAAATATACGCTTCCCATCTAAAATTAGAATTTTTCATAATGTACTTATGAAAACAAAATATTTTTTAGAGAATGTTACAAAAGAAAATAAAAAATAAAATATTATGTACAAAGTAAAAATAATAATTGAAAAAGGTACTGGACTTTTTAAAGTCCTTAAAAATTATTTTACTTTTAAAAAACAAATGAGTTAGAATTTTTTATTAGAGATAGAGTGAGTATATGTTATCTAATTTTTTATTTTATTTATTTTACTTTTACTTATAATGAAAAAGTGTATTTCATTTTTCATTTTTCATTTTTTGTAACATTTTCTAAAAAAAATTATTTTTTGAAAAATAAATAAATTAAAATTTTTAATTAGAGAAAGAGGACGTATATTTTATTTTATTTATTTGTATAACAAAAAATGCAAATAAAAGAGTAAAATTTGAAGATAGAGAAAAACCAAGGGCAGAAATGTCATTTTATGTCTAAAAATAGGCAAAAGGGGGCGTGTGTGCATTATTTAAAAATCACATGAGTTTTACAAATAACTTTTGAAAGTATGGGGGGTTTTGGTGCTCCTTTTGTAAACCACGGGGCACCCATGCTATTACCCATTTATATATGAAGTAGTGAATTGAATGTTTTTTAAGCTTGCATTAAATATTATATTGTATAAAGTTATTAAATTTGAGCGAACAAAAACATGAAATATTAATATAAAATTGAGTAATTTACGCAAATAAGACTTAAACATATCACTTTTCTCTAAATGGGATTAGTCATATTTACTCTAACGTTTGGCAATAGAAAATTTAAAAATGCTCTGCCTTTGAGAAAAATGAATAACTATATAATTCAAGTAAAATAAGATATTATTAAAAATGATTTGAATAGTCATTGAAAACCAATCATTATCCAATACTTGTTATTAATAACCACATTTGTAGAGGGAGTCGTATAGTTAATGACCACATTCGTAAAGTCACCAGTCATCATCCAATGCTTCTTGCTAATGAGAGGATCTATAGCATATCATATGGAATTATGTGTTATAAAGGAAATACAACATATATATTTAGGGGCTGTTTGGCAATTTCTGAATAGGTAAGTGCTGAACCAGTAAGAGGTCTGAACCATTAAGTGCTGAACTAGTAAGAGGTCTGAACCATTAAGAGCTAGTATATTGCTTAACTATTCAGAAGCAAATGTTTAATCAATTCAGATAAGAGGTCTTAACCATTCAGACTCTGTATAATACTTAATCATTCAGAGGCAAATGTTTGAACCATTCAGACATCTGAACCATTAAGAGGTTGAAACAAACAGTCTGAACCATTAAGTGTTGAACCATTCAGACATCTGACCAATTAAGAGGCTGAAACAAACAGCCCCTTAGTCTTATCCTGAAAAACGTACAATATTTTAGTCCTATATGGAATAAAATTTTCTATAAAATGGCGACAAACAAATTAAAATAAGGGTAGGAAAAATTAAAACAACATAAGTCTTTTTTGTATGTTCTCTTATCATTTTCTTAAATTTAATTTTATAAATTCACCTTATTATAATTACTAATTTTTTTAAATAAGTTGAAGGATATTAACAAAAAAGGAGTATGGTAGGTGTGCATTTATAATGTTACACAAATAAACTCCAAACACTAGTTAAGTACTCACTCCGTCCCAAAAAATCTGCCACGTTTCGAAAAATTTGCGTCCCTTAAAGTCCGTCCCATTTCTATTAAAAACCACTTTTACCCCTTACTTTTTCATACCCTACTTACCACATCACACCTTTTTCCTAATAATCTACCCATCACATTCTACTTTTACCCATCACATCAAGGATATTTTTGGAAATTCAACACAAAATTATCCCTCCTTAATTTACCACTTTAATCAAAATGTCCCAATCTTTTTGGAACGGAGGAAGTACAACACTTGTCAGGGGTTCCTAGAAGGGAAAGACATTATTATTCCTCCATTTTGAGTTTATTTCTTTGTTTAAGAAAAGGACGAGTCAGGACAAATAAATATAAATTCCCGTGAAGTTAGAATAGTACTCTGGGAAGAAAGTTTTAGGACAGAGGGTTGATACAAAAAAAGGTTTTATTAGATTTATTATATAAAATATGTCTAAATATTATTTTATCTAATTAATATACAATATATATTTTATTTAATTATAAGTCAAAGACTGAAAATTATTGAATGAAAAAAAAATCAAAACTCGACAAAACACTCAGCCGGTGATAGTATTATTTTATTCACATTGATGATGATGATGATACTTATAACAAATACAATTATATTGATAATATGAAGTATACACCAAAGTAAAACATTTAGGTGATTATTGAAAAAATAAAAGAATTTAGAAGAAACTATTATTGGTTAAAAGAAGCCTACAAAGATTGGAGGATATGATAAGAAATTAGAAAATATAAAAAGTCAAGAGTTAGGCCATGTACTCTTGAAGTATTTCTTATTACTTATTGGTTATTTTATTAGAACTAGATTAAATCAGATCCGATCAGAAATAATTTTAAGTATGACTACATTTAGATCAGATCAAAACTTATTTTAATCAAATCAGAATTAATGAGATTTGGTGAAAAGAACATGGCCTTTGAGCTCAATAGAAGAGAACCTAGTTATAAATGACAGAGTAAAAAAGAGAAATAAACAAACAAAACAATAATAACAAAAACAATATAATACGTGCTAATAGTAATAATAATAAAATATTAAATTGAAATATTTTCAAAACTTATAAAAAAAATATTTTCACAAATAATTAGATAAAATAAAATATCCATATAAAATTCCGATATACTTTAAAATATGTAATTTTTTACTTTTTGTTTTCTTACCAATTTAAAAATACATGAGATTTTGCACATTGTTTGAAACAGAAATTTAATTTGTAGACGAAGGGAGTAACATTTATATCAACATTTTTTTTATTTTTATCAAACATTTTTCAAATTTTTCCAATTTGTCTATATTCTTACCCATCTTTTAACATTTTCAAATTTTTTTCTAACTCTTTTTTTCTCTTAATTCTCTTTAGTTTTTTTTCAATTCTTTTTGGTTTTTCAATGAAAAGTAATTAATTAATAAAAATCATAGAATAATGAGATTGAGAAAATAAAATAACAATTATTTGTTTAAAGTAAATGGTGAGTAAATTAAATAATAATTAATAAAATAATTATTGAATAAATTAATCCTAATAATTATCTAGAAAATGTTAAAGAAAGAGAAATAGTTGATAAAATAATTATTAATACGGAGTAATAGTATTGCAAATTAATGAGACAAAAGTGGGTAAGTTTATGCAAACTTCCCGGGAAATTGGGGTTATTTAACAATTTTTAACAATTTATGGAATCTTATTAATTAAACTTTTAGACTATTAATTATTATTAAAAGTACAAATGTCATCTAATGAATGGAGGGGCATGGATGTCCTCCCATTTACAAAGGCACCAAAGGTAATTGTGAAAATATAATTACATACTACTCCATATGACTTATTGGGTATCTCAATGTATATCTATCATAAACGTAAATGAATTGTCAAATTAAATTACATTCAATGCAAAAGAGCCAATAAGGCAACCGAGAACAAAGTGACCGGCAAGGCCGCAAGAGCCGCTGACGGTGCGGCGGTGCTAGGCTGAGCCGCCGGAGATTGTCCAGATGGGACGACGTCGGGACCCGACACTGGTGTAGCGGCAACAGAAGGCGGTGGCGGGGATGATGCCGCTGAAGGTGGAGTGGCTGCCGGTCCGGCGGCCTCCCCGGAGACGTTGATGGCCAGCTTCTGTCCCAAGGAACAGTGGGGACCCACTGTGCAAATGTAGTAATGCTCGCCGGTGGTTCTGATACGGATCGTGACGGGGCCCGTCGTATTGGCGGCGGCGGTTGTGCTGCATGAGTTAAAAGATGACCTGCTCACCTCCGCCACATTGTGACGACCCGTCGTGAAGTTGAAAACTGCATATTTACAAAAAAAGATTTCTCAAATATTATTTGTTTAGTTTGGTTTTTTTTTTTCAAAATCAACGAATTTTTATCAATAAATTTGTATTACACTCCCTCCGTTCCATAAAACCTTTTCTCTTTCTTTTTTTCCAATGTCTTAAAACATTTCCACTTTCTATTAAAAAACCACTTTTACTCCAACTTTTTCATACCATACCTATCACATCATACTTTTTCACTAATAATCAAATTATCACATCTTACTTTTACCTATCACAACAATGACAAAATTGGAAAATCAACCAAAATTAGACTTTCCTTATTTTGGCCCAAAGACAAAATAAGAATAGTTTTAAAGAACGGAGAGAGTATATTATTGTAATATAATAAAATACGGAGTAATTTTTTACGTGATAAATTTAATGAAAAAATTTTTGTATAGCTAATACGGAGTATTCAATATAAAGATTTATTCAAAATTCATGATTAAATTTAAGATGTTTGAAAAAATTACCTAAAGAGTCGCCGACTTTGAAAGTCTTGTTTGCAACCCAAGTTTGGTAAAGAGAGTCTTCACCAGGACGAGGGATAATCCAACCTGAATAATCACCAACCGTGTAGGTTTGGGGCACTCCACCAGAAGCCGCCGCGGAAGGCGTGGGTGCGGCGGTGGGCTGGGCTGTGAGGGGATACAACAAGGTTGCTGCCACCGCTACCACGGCGGCCACAATCAAAGCCATGTTACACTTTCTTGCCATTGTTTGCTCGCTTATTATTTCCCCTTTAGTGTATACGTACTCCGTATGATTCTTTGCTGGAAGGGAAATAGATGAACTACGGTAATATGGGTCTTGCTCTTTATATAGACAGCACAACAATACTCCCACTTCTACTGCTGCTAGGACATAACGGAGTACTTTAGTTTGAGTAAATAGAACTAAAACATAATGACTTTCCTAATATTATCATATGTTTTTATTTTCCAATATAGCACCTTTGGTCATTATCAAATAATCATTATTCAACTAAATGTCCATCATTTCTGGACATTATTGCTTCCATTAGGTCATTATTAAGTCCTATTTAGGAAATAAAAAAGTTTAAGTCCAGGAAATTCATTATGTTTTAGTCTTATTTAGTGCAAATTTCACCTTTTTAGTTTCTCCCACTTGAATTAATTAATAGCCTTACAGTCTTTCTAAGTTTTTTCATTTATTTATTTTTATTAACTATTTATTAAAATAATATAGTGACAGTTGACGCTGACTTTGGTCATTGAAAATTAAAATAATATAGACAGTCTATTTATTAAAATATATATGTAGGTTTTATTTTTAACTTTTTTATCAATTTTAATTTAAAATATGATGAATTTAAAAAAAAAACTTAACAGTTCGCTTCGTCTTGGGTAAAGTGTGAAATAATTTGGAACGAATGTGGAGTAGAAAATTAGTATAGTTTTTAGTATATGTATTTGGTTATAATTTTTGCATCATTATTCTAATAAAAAGAACCTTGGAGAATAAACTTTAGATCACCAAGACTAAACTTAAATTCTATTTTGATATACTTCACTATTTGTATTTTATATTAACGGATCATTTTGAGTTTTTTTGTAAGTATCTAGAAACTCACAACAATCCTCAATCGGTTAATGTGGAATGGATTGTGTACCCTGGACAAAATAGTAGTCGGGCTTTTACTTTTTAAGTCTTTAGACAATAGACAGTTGACGCTGACTTTGGTCATTGAAAATTGGAAATTTGAATGGGTCGTAGGCAAAAAGCGTGTGCCACGTGGTGGAGTGGGTCAGACGTAGGGGTTGTTTGTTTCAACCTCTTAATGATTCAGATGTCTGAATGGTTCAGCACTTAATGGTTCAGACTGTTTGTTTCAGCCTCTTAATGGTTCAGATGTCTGAATGGTTAAGAGATTTGCCTCTGAATGGTTAAGTATTGTACAAAGTCTGAATGGTTAAGACCTCTTATCTGAATTGATCAGACGTTTGCCTCTGAATAGTTAAGCAATATACTAGCTCTTAATGGTTCAGACCTCTTACTGGTTCAGCACTTAATGGTTCAGACCTCTTACTGGTTCAGCACTTACCGATTCAGAAGTTGCCAAACAGCCTCGTAGTGTGCTTATCAATCTGAAACCCGGAAGAAATTGGCTGGCGGGGCCCAGGCGTCGACATTGTCCATGCACCGCCGCGTGAAGGTGACTTTGTTTTTCAGCGTTCTTCCCCAACTATCATCAAAAGATCCCCATTTAAAGTCTAATTTATTTTTTTGAGGTAATTATTCTTCGCCTAGTTCTAAGGGTCAAGGTTGGTTAGGCAGAGTTCTGTTCATTTTTTTTTATTACTTAATTTTACTAATATTCTGACCCGTGCCATGCACGGGGTCGAAATAAATTTATGTCGATGCTGAATTATTTCAATGAAATTTATTTTTTCAGAATAAAGAAAATATATTGCTCACATAATTTTTAATACTACAAATGAAAAAATTCAAAGTAAAATAAATAATATTTGAGGAATAGAATGTAGAGTTAACAATATTTATTTTAATACCAAATTTTTTGAAAGACTCCAGGGTATACAATATTTTTGGTATGGTTACAAGGGTTTCCATTGTAATCTAGAACTAATATTTTTAATCCTATCTTTGTCTTCACTCATGAAATAGCAAAATATAGTTGACCATGTGCGAACACTGACTTGGTTAAAAATGGTCCCACAAATGACAATGTTTCACCTTGACTTTTGTTGATAGTCATAGCAAAACATGAGGCGATCAGGAATTGTCTTCTTTGGAACTTCAAGGGTAGCCCTGGATCAGATGGTACCAAATTCATTTTAGGGAGGTAAACTTTTTCCCCGACTCGATTTCCCGAAACCACAATTGCACCGATAACATTTTTTCGCAGCTCTTGAATGATTAATCTTGTCCCATTACACAATCCAGATGCTTGGTCAATGTTCCTCAATAGCATGATCGCTACCCCTTTTTTCAAGACTATATTGTGGTTTGGGATTCCCGAACATTTGATTTCGTTCAAAAACTCAATAGTTATCTAAATGCCATCAACTCCTACATCTGCTTTTGCTTGGCACGAAGAATCAACATTCAAGTACTCATTTTCATCACCAGGAATGAGGGACAGAACAAATTCATTTATCATTTCAACTAATTTCAAGAGTTGGTGCCAATTTAATAGTTTTTTTAACCTGTGCCACGCACGGGTTGAACGAATTTTTTGTCGATTGAATCTATTTTGGTTTCTCATGTTCGTAGAAATCTCAATGTGGTAGCGCATACGTTAGCTAGGCGGGTTGAAACTCAGACAGGTGATTGGGATTTTGTCCCCCCTGATTTTCTTATGTATCTTTTGAATTAATGAAAGTTGGTTGTTCTCAAAAAAAAATTAACTTTTTAATGTTTTTTTTATTTTTGTATTCTAACCCTTAAGATCTGTTAGGCATAGAAAAAAATTCCACCAACCTTGCAAAAATATTATATTTATTTTTTAAAAAGTGTTTATATTTTTTCATATTTATTTTTAATTATTTTATATTATCATCATAATAAGAGTTCGTATTGTTGTAATCTGAAAGAAAGAATTTCGTTAAGGCTAGTGATTATCGCGTAGAAAATCTGCTGTCAATTGTTTTCAACGGGAGATCTGCTGGTGCATCGTATATAATTTATTTCCGCTGGTTTCCTCGGATATTACGTGGCATGCTGACATGTTTAAATTTTGTCACATAGACATGCCAAATGTCAACTTTATGTGCATCCGAATCTCCTTTATTATATTAAATGATGTACTCAATGATAATAAAATCATAAATAATGTTAGTGTAATATAATAAGTCCCAACGATATATTTTGTTTTAATCATTTGTATATTATAATATACTCCGTAATAAAAATAGGTTTAAATATGTTTTTATACCCTATGAAATAAGAAATTTTTATTTTTAGTCACTGTAAAATATTTTTTGATAAAGTCATCACTACAAAATATTTTAATTTGAAAATAGTCCTTAACGTAATTAGCACTTCTAATTAGATGAGATAGTACATTTATTTCATACTCAACATATTAGTCATGTATTTCTAATTACATCCGATACAATTTCTAAACCCTAAATTCTGTACTTATTCATATTACATATATCTGGCTCTCAAATTTCTTACGAATATAATATAATCGAAATTTAAGAATTGGAAATGCAATTTGGTAAAAGACAGAATTATTGGCATCAAAATTGTGTTTGAAGTAATTGCAAATCTAAAACTAAGCTATTGAGTACAAAAGAAATATGTTATCTCAACAACTTAAAAGTCTTTATTACGTATAAAGATCATTATCAAAATAATTTTTTTGTAAGGATGACTTAAACAAAAATTATATTTCAGGGTCCAAAAACAAAACTCACCTATTTTTAAGGGACTAAAAATATATTTAACCCTTAAAAATATCATAAAAAATAATAATAAAATAAAATATTTGTAAATTAAATCATAAATCATTTAAAAACTATTAGCCATGATCTTTTTAGTAATTATATCAAAGCATGAAATTTATATAATCGAATTACCAAATAATATCTAATATATTTACCTGCTTTAACAATTTATTTTCTAATCTTCTCATGTTTTATAAAGTTTCATTGTAGTTTTAAAATAAGTTTTTTGTTTATTAACTTACATGAATATTTTAATAAATATAATAAAACTGACTGCTTCGATTTAAATATATCATAAAAAATATGAAATTTATTTAGAAGTGAAGAAATATCTTATTAATTACTTAGGGCCAATTTCGTGAATTTTGGAGATATTATAAGATGTGGGTTATGAAAACTCAGAAATTTGATATGGACTTTGTAATCTGAAATGATTTTATTTGGAGAGATTTAAATTCAAGATTTAATTAGTGATAAGCAAGGATGACTGGCAACGGGAGTGATTGGCAGTGACAATGGTAGCGAGTGGCGAAGAATGATAAACAGTTGAGAGAGATATCAAACCCCCATTTTGATATCTCTCAAATTCGGGAGATATTGAGACCATCCATTTTAAAGATATATGATATGTGGAGATATTAAATTTGATAACTCTTTTGGCTTCACCAAACACCAGAAAAGGATTAGGATATTTAGAGATATCAAAACTCATATTTTTTTTGCTCACCAAACACACTTCTAGAAGTTTTTGTAATAATTGAATAGAAAAATATGCATAATTAGGAAATAATTTATTATAAAAACAAATATCTATATTCTCTTCCATAATTAATTGTACCGAATGACTTCATACCATAGTATTAACTTCTTACTTTCTATAATATATTTTACGTGTCAGAAATGTCTCATAAACAACATCACATCTCAGTTTCTTAGAGATTAAAATATCAATTTTATAAATAAAGGATCAATTCTAAGCATATTTGATCCTTTCATATAAGAATACTTTTAAATGAAAATATTTCATTATCAAAATTTTGTTTTTTGTGTATACACTTAGTTAAAAAATTTGATTCATTAAAAATGCTAGTCTAGAAATGGTAAGTGATAATACCAATTTTATATTTTCACTAATTTTTTGCTACATCATAATAAGTTTATCATAAAATTATATTTTACACAATTGTTTTCCTTTAATAATTTTATTTCGGACAATACTATATTTATCTTTCACAAATTTGATTTTATAACATAATTAATTTTATCACAACATAACAAATAAATAAATGAATTGCTTTTTAAAAATAAAAAATATAAATACTCAACTAATGTCACGAAGTAATGAATTCTTTATTTGT